TTGTTTTACTTACCAGCGTTTAACGTATCTATTGAAATGTTAATATAGTCGACTTATTGTTGTGATCTCTGATGCTGAATTGTGATCATCATCCCCTCCTTTCTTTCAGATTCCCTTGAGTTCGTTCAAAAACCAGTAGATGTTATTCCTTAATGCCGTGGAAGACGGGAGGACCACTTTGTTCAGCTCCGAATCTGCTAGGTTGGTTGATGTTTCTGTCATTAGAGATACCATGGTATAAAGCTCATTTCCATGATTGGGTTGAAACTGATTCACGCATCCCTTTGTAATACATCCATCTCGCATCGTGCCAAGAGATGAACTACCTGTCATCTTTGCTCCGAAATCGGTGGAATTTCGAAATGTTACTTGGAAAGATCAGGAGTAGGGAGCAGTTATTGATTAGTTTCGCGACGAATTGCCGTTCGGATTCACCATCGATTTTGTTCCCCGGGTGATTTCTTGTTCCTTGAGTTAACTAAATTGTTGCATTTGAACTTCCATCAGCAGCACGATTGCTGTAGATGTGGCATTGGATCTAGTCTACTGCTAGACGATTGCCAAAGCATTTTCTAAATTCTTCAACCCTTATCCAGCTATGTTTTGTTCGGTGATAAATATGAAGACGACCTTCTGCCAAGTTTTCTTTGCCGGGTATGGTTTTGCAAGTAAACTGGGAGCATTGAGAGGTTCTTGTAACGACTGATTGGTTTATTGAAATGGAATAGTTATATCAGTAGTTGGCTCGCTAGGGACGGACGTATAATTTTATGTTTGGGGCAAACTTGAACTTATAAAATTTTATGAGACGATATTAAACTTATAAAATTTTAAGAGAAAAATATATTTTTAAAAAAAAAATAAATAGAAAATATCTATAATATAAAATAATTTTTAAATTTAGGGGGATTTCCCCCGCTTGCCCCCTCGATCCATCCAACCTTGGGCTCACTGGAATTGACTATTCAGCTACCATTCTTTGGTTGTTATGGATAGCTAATGTAATAAAACAAAGGGTAAACTATTTATCTGGTACCTATCTATTCATATGTTTATGTTTTGGTTACCCAATTATTTCTAGTAACAAAATAAGTCTATACGTTAAATATCATTTTCAGTGTACTTAATAAATATCATTCATTCGTATATATTGATAAATTGAAGGGGGATGGGATTGCAATGACTTGAATCTAGTTATGTACTAGTGGAGGTTGATGATGAAGTAGCATGTCATTTTCATGTTTGATATTATCTGATTATTTAAGTTAAATTAGTTTCTTATGAAAAAGGGTAAATTATGCATTTAGTACCTAAGCTATCAATTTTAGTCCCTTTTAGTACCTAAGCTTTCAATCTTTTCAAAATCAAACCTAAAGTTTAGTTGTTGTTTCATTTTAGTATCACACCGTTAAAAACTTCAGTTTTTGTTTTATTTTCGTACTCTCATTCAAAATTTAACGTTAAGTTTTGAAAAATTGAAAGTTTAGGTACTAAAACGTGTTAAAACCTATAGTTTATGTACTAAACGCTTGAATTTTTAACGGCATGTACTAAAATGAAATAAAAATAAAACATTAGTTATGATTTAAAAAAACTTAAAGTTTAGGTATTAAATGCATACTTTGTCCTATAAAAAATTAAGGTTTTAATTACATTTTTTAGAAAAAAGAAGTTTGTCTTTGGTAGCATGTGAGATGCTTGCTTCTGGGAAGGTTGGAATGAATGGTCGAACAAATCGGGGGGTCACATGTCATGTGAATTAGAAGGTTTGGCAAAAACAAAGTCGTCGGTTCATTGATTTTATTTTAAATTTCAACATTCATCTTAATTCAACGTTTGACTTTGCAGCTTAATGAGTTCTTTTTAGGCCAATAAGTAGTTTAATATGGAACCAAAAAAAAACAACCTTTCTTTAGAAAATATCGTTTACTTGTACATTGAAGGAAGAGGATTATTTAGTTTTTATATTCTAATTTAATTCATTTTTAATATTTTTTACTAATTTAATATTGATTTATATAATCATATTTTAAAATATTTAAAAGAAATATATCATCTTTTATTATTGAAACTATTCTTTGAATTTCTGTATAACTGAATTTCATAAATTTGATCAAACACCTACGACCTGGTCGAAGTGACGCGTGGTTTGGTTGCATATTGCTATTATAGGTTGCGTGCAGGGGATCACTTCGGAGCGATGGAGGTCACGCGCGCAAGGCTGGTGGAAAAAGTGAGCTTTGAGAAACAGTACAAAAGCAATAAATAATAAATTCGTGACAGATTTTGACCAAATAAAAAACTACAAACATTATTTGCGTTTTATTACTCGGACGAAGTCGTATTTATTTCTTAAGGCTAAAACACAAAAATTATTTTATTTAGGTATTACAGTTTAAATTTATAAATGTAAATCAAATTTTTGGTTAAAATTACCTGAATAATGTGATTAAAAAATAATTGGCTGATTTGAATTACATGAGAAAATATTTTCTCAATTAGGGTGAACTAAAATACGTTAGAAATACAATACGTCTTATGAAAGACGTAATGACCATCATGTGTCCTCTGTATAGATCTATTGATGCAAACACCACATGCATTGCTCTTGATATAAAAGACTCATTGTGCTCACTATATCGCTGTCTTTTAGAAGATACATTGTATTTTCGGTGTCTTTTAACGAGACTTTAACAATGACTCGATCTCAAAAGATAATTTTATCATCACCTTACGAGAGATAATTTTTTTTCCAACCCATTATTCAGGAAAAAATTGCCAAATTTTAGAGTTTGATGATGGTATAACAAAAATAATATAATTTAATAAAATTAGATAAATAAACTAAAGTCACTAATAGAACAAACACTACCGTAATTCTATATTTAATATAACATATTTTTATCCTAATTTTGTTATAAACCATACCACATCCGTACTAATGGGTTAAATGAAAAATATCAAGTAAACATGATAAAGGAATTACACCTGATAGCTTATTATATGGAGGGTGTTTTATGATTTTAACCTTCTTTACTTTTATTATTCAAATGTAAATTTTACATTAATCAGGTGTTAATTTCTTAAAGTGTTTATTTATATATATATATATATATATATATATATTATTAAATGATTAATAATAATGTTTATATATACATATTGTTATTATCATCGACTCATCGAATTAATACGTGTCTTTGAAACGTATCACATATATTTGCATATTTTTACTTTATTTTCCTTTTCTTCATTCTAATCCTTGACAAAACTCTTTTTTTAAAAAAAGGAATGTGTTTAATTTTCTCTTAATTTCTTCATTTTAATTCTAAATATATAAAGTAAAAAAAGTTCTCTGATTGAATATTTTTTACCCTAAAATCGAATCTGACTCGATCCGAACATCACATTTTAAAAAAATAACACGTTCGGATCGGATTCGGATTTCATGCCATCTCTATACATAACACTCTATATATTAAATTTATAATATATTACTTAACGTAACAAATAAAACTTCCATTTTTGAAAAATCCAAAAAGGTCACGACACTCTATACTACTTATAATCCAAGTGTATACATGTTATTTTGAATAAGTTATTAAATATAGTTTAATATATTAAGTAAATAAGAAGAAAATAAAAAAAATTGCATACCTATTTTATTAGGAAAAAGAGTATTAAAATTTTTGAACCCTTATTTTTTTAATTTCTAATCCGTCAATGGGATCAAAGCCTTCAACCATCCATGTAGGAAAAATCAAATAATAAATCATTTTTATATTTATTTAAAAATAATAATTTAAATTATTAAAAAAAGTTTAATTTCTCTCGATTAGTGTGCCCTAATATCTTTTCTTTATCGTCTTCATTAATTAACGGTAACACTAGTTTTACTGTTGGTTGTCGACCGTCGGTATTTTTTATTTTTTTTCTTTTATATAATATATATTTATTTTCTTTTCTTTTTTTTATTTTGAATAAGTATGCATGTATGACAAGTTTTCATTTGTCTTTATGATACGTTTTCTTATACTTTTTTTCATATTTTTTAATTGTTTGGTCGTTTATTCATTTATCTTGATTAATTTGATATATCTACGACTGATCAAGATGATACTTATATGATATTTTGTTGATCTTCTCTTCTTTAGACTGTTAGATTGGATTTAGATATCCGATTTGTCATCGTGAATAGTTTTTTACGTCTCTCGAGTATGATTAGCGGTTTGTCTGTGGTCTTTCAATAGCTTGAATTCCTTTTGATTCGTTTGCTGATGCAATCAGATATCTTTGTATTTATCTTTGTTTGAATTTTTTGGTTAGATTTTTAATCTTCCTTATATGGTCATTATGTGATCATAAGTTGCTAGTATTGATTCAACGTTTATAGGAATTTTTTTAATTATATGCTTAATATAAGATTGTGATTGTAAATTTTATTGTATTTTAGAATATTTTTTATTTTAAATAAAATTAGTCACTTCTATAAAAAAAATTAACATAAATATGAGTAATAAAACAGTCCTTTCCCTATAACACAATATTCTAATCAATATATAAAATTTATTTCTATAACAAGAAGATAAACAAAAGTATTAAAATTAATATAATAATTACTTAACGTAACAAATAAAACTTCAATTTTTGAAAAATCCAAAAAGGCCACGACACTCTATACTATTTATAAAGTCGGAAGAATTTGGATGTAAATCAAAATAAATAAATACAAAATAAACCATTTTTTATTAATTTAAAAATAATAATTCGAATTAAATAAGATTACTATCTGACGGACGTGGGTGTTAAATCCAAATAAGGTGACATATCCCACGCGATTTCACGCGTGAGACGTGTACAGCGCGTGAAAATAAACCGCAGATAATTTCTCATTAATTTTCTTCAGAAACTCCCAACTCCTCGTCCCGTATAATCAACCCCCCTTACGACTCTAATACGTCTCCAATTTAATTTTTCCTTTTTTTTAAGCCAAAGGAAGAACGAATCGAGTGAAAAGAACCTGCCGGAATACTGAATCAATGGCGTTTCGGCTGAGCAACAACCTAGTGGGTATCCTCAACTTGATCACGTTCATCCTCTCGATCCCCATCCTCGGCGCCGGCATCTGGCTGAGCCGGGAAGGCGTGACCGAGTGCGAACGGTTCTTGGACATGCCCGTCATCGTGATCGGGGTCTTCCTCATGATGGTCTCCCTCGCCGGACTAATCGGCGCGTGCTGTCGCGTGACGTGGCTGCTCTGGCTCTACTTGGTCGTCATGTTCCTCCTCATCGTGCTGGGGATCGTCTTCACGATCTTTGCTTTCGCGGTGACGAATAAAGGGGCGGGAGAAGTGTTGTCCGGGAGAGGTTACAAGGAATACCGACTCGGGGATTACTCCGACTGGTTGCAGAAAAGGGTTACTAATCAGAAGAACTGGAATAAGATTAAGAGCTGTTTGGCTGACAGTAAAGTTTGCACTGATTTCCATGATAAATATCTCAATGCCTCTCTCCCGGAGTTTTACCAGGCTCACTTGTCAGCCATTCAGGTATCTAAATTCTTGAGATCTGAGTTTTCTTCTTCTTAATATAAAAATTGAATCAGAGATATATTACAATCCATACAGAGCTTTATGCGTAAAGGGAACTATAATGAATACTTTTTGTAATCTATTTGACTTTATGTTGATTCTAACTTTAGGAGGAAAAAGGTTCTCAACTTTTCTGAAGTGCATATTCATATAATATTTCCTGCAAGATTACGATTCCCAAACGTGATTCTCTCAAAATAGATAGTTTAGGGGATCGATTAACAGAGTATTCCATCACAAATTTGACGTATTTTCTTTGTTTTTGTTTTGTGTAATTGTAGTCTGGTTGCTGTAAGCCATCGGACGACTGTAAGTTCGCATACGTCGGGCCGACTAACTGGACAAGAGGGGATGGGTCGCCGGCGAATCCAGACTGCAATCTGTGGGATAATAACCCGAATACTCTATGCTTCAACTGCCAGTCATGCAAAGCTGGGTTCATAGACAACCTCAAGAGTTCATGGAAGAAGGTGGCGGTTGTCAACATCGTCTTCCTCATCTTCCTCATCGTTGTCTACTCTGTTGGCTGCTGTGCTTTCAGAAACAACAGGAGAGACAACGCTTATCGTCAAGGCTGGAAGCCTTGACCCCTCTTTCTCTTCTTAGCTTTCTGGGTTTTTAGTTTGTTTGTATTTTGATATTGTTTGTGATTGCATTTGGACCTTTTATTGTATAGTTTTTCACTTCCTTGTCTAGTTGTTAGCAATTTAGATCGTTTATATATATGCATAAAAGTCGCAGATACTATTGTTTTATAACTGATGTTGAAACCTTTCGTATTTCATATATTGAATGTTGACATTCTATGGTGGATGGGAAATAAAAGGTGTGTGGGTCACCTAAATACATATAGATGTTCAAAATCTCCGAATCTGATTCGTCTTGATCTGATCCTTTAAAGGCATTTTTTTAAAAATTTCAGGGCTTGAGACGGGACAAGTTATATATCATATAAATTCCGGATGGGACGGGGTCGGTTTCAAGGTAAAAAGTTATTGATCCAACTCGGTTAATTTAAACTATATATGTATATTATATTTTAATATTTATATATTATTAAAACATATTATTTATTTATTAAAAATGTAAAATACATAGTAAAATATATTAATTTAATCTTGAAAATATAATAAATAATTTATCGAGACCGGGTGAGATCAGATTTTATATATATTTTTGAGACGCAAAAAAACCATCCCACCCTGTGCCGATCCCTACCCAAATACTGTGGGTTGAAGAATTCTATTTCATTTTATTATATATTTGATCAAATGGGAGAAACTTTGCACCCCGAAATTGAATGGGCATTTCACTTGGATTTGCCCGATTCTATTTTATTTAAAAATTTATGTTCGAATTGATTTTTTTTTAAATGTGAAAAAAATATAATTGAGTCGAGTAGATTTGTTTAAAAAAATTGATTTGACATAATATTATATGTACCTTGTATATATTTAGAGATAATTATAATATTATATATTTTTATTTTATTTTACTTAATAACCTAAACCCGAGCCTTATACGTATGAAAAATTTTACTTTCTAATTAAAATTAGATGAAATAAAAATTTGACTCGATTCAATCCACGACGATCCTTATAGCAAAAGGCGGAGAGGGATTTAGGGACCTTTACAATTTCAATCTTCCCCTTTAAGGGTAGAAGCTAATCTACTCTAGATTGCTTCGAAGTCTTGAAAGGCAAGTATTTTCCCAAGGAAAATTTCCTCTCATCTCAACTAAGTCACAAAAGTATTGATATAACTAACTAACCACTTCTTTTTAATGTTTTGTCAATAAAATATTGACACATTTGAAGGGAATAAAACAACAAAAATTTCTTTGTAAGTCTTTTTCTATTTACCCCTCGTTTGGGGTCTACATCATGTGGAACACACTGTTGTCCTATTTTCCTTCGCATCACTGAGGCTTAAGAGTCTTATGTTTTACGTGGAGACACTATTACGTATTGTTTTGAAAAAATTAAAAATGTATATATTAAAACGGATCAAAATTAATGGTTTAGGTACTAAATGCATAATTTACCCTAAACAATATTGAGTTAATGTTTCATTGAAAAGTACATTAATGAGTAATGAAATAATTTTGACTATAGACGAAAACATTGCATGTTTGTGAAAGTTAAAAAATTTAAGACGATTTAGATACGTTGCACTTGGTTGATGCTCCAAATTAGCTACTAAAAGCTTTTCGGTCCAGTTTCTATCGGCCTCCGGTGGGTTCCCTCGGCTCCCATCTCTTGCTCTAAGAATGAATGGAATTCACAAAATTTCACCTTTCAATCAACAGTATTGAATTGAATTTACAAAATCGGTGGGTCGAAGTGAGATTCTACCCGAACCAGCTTTATGCATTATTTTCATTCGTATTAGCAGATTTGTCGGACAAAAGTGGTTCTTCTATCGGACTCTTCTTCGCGGTGGATATCTGGCCAGTCAAAGACTCAGGGTCTGTTTCTTTCACTCAGTAATCTTCGGCTTTTCCCCAAAGAACAATATATAAACCACCAATTACGCCAACCGCACCTATTAGGCTGAACCGACACAGACCAAAACGAGATAAAATACGATTCTATATTAGAAGGACGAATTTTTATGTCCCGTGTGCTCGAAATGTTACCTGCCCACGTAAATTTCTTCATGCAAGAACGGCACAGCCAGTATGGTCACAATGACTGTACACGAAGGATTAAACATGGCGGAAAACAGGGGTCCCCTTTGCGCTATGCACCAAGCTTGAACGAAGAATGAGAGCCCCGATCCGAATATTCCCTATACAGATCATGTGCTTCACATTACGATGTGATTTGCATAGTATAAAAGTGAAAAAATGAATTCGTCTTTTTTTCCTACATACTACAACGAGACAACAAACGAGCTCAAAACTGGAATGAAGGGTCCAGGCTTCGAGGTCTGATTGTAAAAACAGTGTAACAACTGCCGACTGCAATGCCCCGAAGAAACACATCCAGGCTGACAAGGAGACGTGGTCGGGGTAGCTGGCTGAAGCCGGGACCTGTCCGCAAACATGTATTGATGTTATTATTAGTGACTGAAATGTTAGACAAGTGGAGACAAGTATTGGATCCAAATACCTGCAAAATGAGCCAAATGGACCAGCAACAAGCGCTTCCAAAGAGAAACAAACAACCCAGCAACCAGTGCTCACCGCCGTCCCATCCGAATAATGATTTTTCCGGTAAAGGTTCTGCTTCCAATAGCTTTGGCCCCCTCAGCAGCGCCATGAAAATGGCTCCGGTGACGCAGATCAACGTGCCGACTATTTTGCCAATACTTCTCAAGCTTCGAATATTCACCATCTCTAACCTATACACAAATGGTAAATAAACGGTCTGCACGTATATGTATAACATATAGAACCAAGAGATATATACCATTAATTATGACGTACCCAACAATGGACGATGTCATAACAAAAGTGATGGCCGGGACTAGATTTGCCATTGCACTTGCCGTTGCAGAAGTGGCCAAGTATAGACCCTCATAATATATATTCTGATTGATTGCGATCCTGTATACAAGATTCTGACCTTAAGAAAATGGACAGAATCGAGATATATATACAAATGAAAAGAAAAAGAACCCAATAAGTGAGGCAAAGAATATCAAAGAAAAGCTCCTTAGTCCCATTGAAGGTCCGCCTGATTTCCTCCTGGAGAGATAAACGACGGGTGCCACGGCCAAAGTAGAGACGGCTTGCCGGTAAACGACGAGGACACGAGGACTCATGCCTTGCAACATAGCTGCTCGGGTGACGAGTGCAACGGCTGCATAACCCATCTGTAATCCCACCATAGCAATTGCATGCTTGTAATCTCCCCACCCACTCATCTCTTCCGATTATACTAGGTATAAAAGGACCGCTAGATAAGCTTCCATTTGTAAATTATATATATATATATGGAACTATATGACAGTATATACCGTATGAACGTATTTCCATATTTATCAGCTAAAAGGGTGTTTCAAAATTTGATCGTTTTTAAACGAGCATACGTGAACCATTTTTATTCTATCTCAATATTAATTACGTAAGAATCTAGGTAACCTTGTTCTGTAACAATAATTAATTTGTTCATATTATAAAAAGTTAATGTTATTGTTAATAATTTGTACATATTATAAAAAGTTTATGTTAATAATATTGATGAACTGGAAAAATAAAGGATTGCTGATCTTACTGTTAATTATTTTACAATTATGATTAAAATATATAATTGGAATGGTTGAATCCAATCTATCTAAAAAAAACGTATAAATAATGATTTCAACAAATAAATAATCAATTAACGCTACAAAGAAAATGCACCTTTAGTGATAATACAAATGATTACTAAAAGCACAAATGGTTACTAAAATCATTAAATATAGACACTAAAATGCATAGTAGAAGTCATCGCTAATAATTCTGTCACTATTATATTAGTGACAATTATTCTAAAAATTGTCACAATTGTTCTTTTTTTGTGACTATCTGCTTGACACAATTATAATATCAGGGGACCGTTTATGTAATTTACCAAAATTTAAATTGTAAATAGTATAAATCTAAAAATAACCCATTCCATTAAATTGGAACCCACCCATCTGACAATCTCTAGTTATAGGTGGAGAGAGTACACTCGTTATAGGGTGACAATCAGTTGGACAGAGTTATACCAATGAAATGGTATTGGGGCTTAATCATCATCAACCCATGGTTGTTTTTGTAGAACCAGCACAGAATTGTTGCCACCAAAATCAGCAGATGAAAGTAGGTCGCCGATAATTCCAATCTCTTCAAATTCTGTCCATTCATGGAGGCCGGTGGTCTGGGGATCTTCACAGTTGTATCGTCTCCCAACAATAAAAAGCTGGTAGTTATCCACAATGGATCGAAGAAAATCTAAAGTTTCAGGTCCATCATTTACCTGCTTCTCAATGTTTATTATGTATGAACAACATTCCTTAACATTTCTCAGCATTATCTTATCCTGCATCGTCTCGATATCATCAGCCAGATGAATCCTATTTCCAGCTGTGAGATGAATTACTGTTAGTTGAACGTTTTCGTTTTCGGACATGCGTATACCTAAAGCAAGAGCCTCCTGATCATCTTTACCCCCCAAGAATATCACAGCAACGTTATATAATGGAGCGCTGTCAAACGAGTGCGACTGTGAGTTGGAGCGGTTTAAATGGCGTCGACCTTCGACCAGGATCCCTACCGAGCACGGTGCTTTTTCGAGCATACCGTAGTTCAGGCTCCTTATGGTTTGGTCTTCGGATTCGATGCTGCCATCGAAGTGCCATCGGCGGTGAAATGGAAGTACTATAAAGGATTTGTGGTGTTCCAGGGCGAGGTTACATATATCCTCGTGCATCATATTCGCCGGGGACACCGCCGTGAACGCTTTCACCGTTACTGCTCTCCAGTTGTCACGCTCGAACCTTTGAAACGAGAGGACGACGTTCTCCGAGTACGAGTTGTTGGAAAGGGTGTGCTGATTCATGTCATGAGAGATGAAGAGTGGAGTGGCTCGCCCACTGAGCTTTATAAGGTGAAGCACATGAAGAGCAATGGGACTTTCTGTGGTCGAGGTGCTGAGGATGTCAATGATGGAATTGACATTAGCCGGGACATGAATACAACTAACCATGCGAAGCTCCTCGTTGTGCTTACAATGCATGATGCTCCTTTTATGGTAAGTTGCATACTTTCTCCATGGATCGTAGAGGGCTTTCACTATGATTGGCACAATGCTTGCGACCACGATGACGATAAGGCTCATGGAAACGAAGATAGGCTTTGTTATAAGCTGCAATTTTTCGACAATAAGTATTCATGAATACTGCAGTGAAATTTAAGTAAAAACCATACAACAGGAGGAGTTAAAGATATATACATTGCTATCGTGCATGTTGGTTAAGATAGCCATGTCAACGAGACCTTTGCTTATCGTTATAAAAGCAAACGCCAAAGCATCCCTTGTGGGCATTTTATTCAACAAGGAAAGAAGGAAGGAGACTCCAAATTTGGATAATAGAGCCACAACAGCGGAACGAGATTGGCGTTTGACAAAGGAGCCGTGGGTGTGGGTATGGAGGTAAGAAAAATCAATCCTCATGCCGCATGTTGAAGCAAACAAAGGCACAAGAAAACCTGAAACAACGGGCTCCAGTTTCTCCACCAGAGCGGATCCCAAAGGGGGTCCATCTGGGATAGCCAACCCAATTAGGAATGGGCCAAAGTTGGGGAATATCCTAAGAGAAGTGGTAAACTTATGTGAAACCATGAACGCCAAAATTGCAGCATAAAGGCAAACACCATTTATCATCCCACCACCAACCGTTTTCCTCGCCAGCCATTTCATTACAGGTCGAAAACAAAACACCAGCACAACAACAAAGGTTACAACCCTTCCGTAATGTAAAATGGCCCAGTCCACACCTTTTTTTCGTGCTGTATTCAAACCTTGGCAAACATTCAATAGAAATAGCGACAACATATTACCTACGAGGGCCGATGATAGGCTAAGCCTTCCGAGTTCCGAATTCAGGAGCTTCAGCTCACTGAGTAGGCTATGTATCACCGGAAACGAAGTCCCCGAATATGCCACTGCAAGAACGGAAATCTCGTTTGTGTTCTCAAGTACTATTTCATCTCGATAGGACCCAGCCATTACCAAGGAAACTATGAAAGGCACCATCACTGTTAGGATACCAATACACAGTGCCTTCTTCCCGGATCTGTATGTCATGCTAAAATCCATCTTCACCCCAGTTAGAAATAAATATAAATAATAGCCGAAACCCGCCACGGTACCCAGAATTAAAACACTATCCGCAGAAGTCGTAATGAGCGTTTCATCATCGTCAAAAACCGTAGGACCCAGTATTATCCCTGCCTGCATTTACAAAAAAAAAAACGCTCGGAATGAAGAATCAAAATGGAAAAGAAAAGTAGGAGAATGTGCAGGCACATACAAGAATCTGGGATATGAATGTAGGCATTCGGAGGCGCTTGAGCACAAAATGAATGGCTTGAGTGAGAAGGTAAGTGAGTATCATCTGGAGTTCGAGCGTTGGAGCAGAATAGTCCATGATGCTTCTAAGTTTCCCTTTGTAGAGCAATGTCATCAAGCCAGGTGCGTTGATTTTGGGAGGATATTTAAGACATATTTCTACCTTCTCTGTTTTCATGCTGCCTTCAAAGCTGTTGAATTCGGTGGAAGGAGAAGAGCTAGCTAGAGAGAGAGAGAGAGGAGATTGAATTGAATGAAATGAACGATAGGAATCATTGCTTTATATAAAGTTTCTTGTTTTTTTCTAACGTCTTTTTTTCCCGTTTTTAAATTCGGGTGGATTTGCATTTTGGTGAAACGAGTTCTTGTTGTTTGCTCAAACCATGGATCTTCATTTGTTCCAACGAAAACTCGTCTTTCAAACACGGCAAACCAGACACTTAGGTTTTTTTTTTTCTTTGTGTTGATATTATCTCTCGACTTTATATTTTATTTTAGGATAACTTTTGAATTTAGTTGCCTAACGTTTACTATAATTTAATTTTGATTACTCAATTATTAGTTTTTTCAAAATTTAAAATTATATTTTAGTTTCGTTTTAGTCATTTATCGTTTAAAAGAAAAACAGAACTGTTAGCGTTATAACTTTTAAATTTTTTCAATGATGACGTGGTATTATTTTATAATGGCATTATCAATATTATTGTTAATTTTTTAGGTATGATTTAAAAAAATAATTGAAAACCATAGTAATATTATTTATTTCTGTTTTATCTCTTTTTCTTATTTTATTTTATTTTTTAATTTTTTGTGATATTTTATTTAATAGTAACTATTTAATATTGATAGTAACTACTTTCTGATCCTATAAAAAAATTCAAGATTAGATTTGATGTTGTCTCTCTAATCATTTCTTTTTCTTTTGATTATTTTACTAATTAACCCCTGATTTGGATTCTCGGTCGATTTTCTCTTTTTTTTTTTTTTGTTACAAGGTAAGAAGCAAAAGCTAAATCACGGTACTATCATGCATATTAGCATTGAGCAGAAGTCTTATACCAGCAGGAGGAGACTGCAAAATGGTGAGGCCTCTGCCTGAGAAACCCAAATGTGCCATAGCGTCAGCAGCTTCATTGACATCCCTATGAACATGAGTGAATCTGATATGCCACTGTCGTTTAAGTAATAATCGGATTCGCCGGATAAGTGTTGGCTCATTATTCTGTCCGGTGGAATTAAGAATACGCACCACCTCACTACTATCGGTTCCACTCCCACCTGTCGCTCCCCCCGTTTTCCAAGGTAGAGTAAGACCATCAAGGATTGCCCAAAGCTCGGCATGTAAGACCGAGCAATGGCCAATTTTACGATGGTATCCTCCCAACCAGTTGCCTGTGCTATCTCTAACATAGTATCAAATTGCGGTTGCAGATTTTGTTACGGTGTCGCGGTTGCGGATGTTGCGGACGTTACGTAATGTGTGTTGCAGCTGTCGTGGGCGTGATCACTTCCTCAAAAATCACAATACGTCTCAAATATTATATTTATACATTTTACAGTTATCTTTTAATATAATATACTCTTTAAATATTTTATTTTGAAAATAAAAAATTTAATTTCATAGATAAAAATTTATTAAAAACAAATATAAAATATAGAAGTATTATCATACTGGATAATGCGTAATAAAAATTATAATGTTAATGAATAACATATACTATTATATTATATATTAGATAAAATTTTATAGTTTCATAATAAATAGATAAAATACATATACTATTATAGTATTATGAAATGGATTCATCTCTTATACAAAATTTATATAATAATAAATAAACATATAATTATCATACTTAATGTTAATATAAAAAATTAATTTAAAATTAATTACATCAATTTTAGATATGAGAAAAAATTCAATTTAAATTTAAATTAATTTAATTTTAAAATAACATTAATAAATAATTTAATTAATTCAAATTTAAGTAACTAATTTTAAACATAACTATTACGATATTATTAATGATATATATTTATAATTCAGTTTTAAGAATTAAATTAGAACAATTCATCTATGTAATTTTATATTTCATATAATTTAAAGTTTGTTGCGGCGTTACGGCGTAATTTATAGCTTGTTGCGATGTTATTAACGGTTTTTGATCGTAACAATCGTGATGCGGTTCCCTTATCGTGTTGCGCCAATATTACGTCGCGATAACCTTAAAAAACGTTACGATACGAGTGTTACGCTGCATTGCGGCCGCAATTCAGTACTATGATCTCTGATAAGACCTCCACTAGCAGCTTCCTTAGTTTGTTGAATTACAGCACTATCGGTGTTTAGTTTGATATACGCAGCACTAGGTGGCTTCCACTTAGGCTGCAAAGTTCTAATCATTTGCTTATTTAAACGCACAAGTTCCCGGAGTAAGTGAGCCCAAGATTGAGCCGATTTAATAATTAACCTCAGATGGTGACATATTAAATCGGTTTCATTACCCAAGAGTTGTTTCAAGAGTCTCATTACCCCAGAACTTGATCAAGCATTTGTGTATCCCATTGTCCCCGAGCATTAACCGTTGGAAATGAAACACTCACACAAACAACTTTTATTGAAACTCAAACAAATACTACAAGAACACTCTCACTCAAAAATAAGAACTACAAGTCACTCTTATAAGACTTTGCTTCTTCACTTACATAGAAGCTCTTAATTTTTCTTGATGTCTAAACTAAAATGGGGAGAGGGTATTTATACTACTTAAGAACAATCCTACATCACACAAATAAACAAATTTAAACCATTAAAAAATAAGACATATGCCTAACTCTCACCTAACTAATTTGATGTAAGCAATGACATCTTCACCTAACAAAATTATGTAAGCAATGACATCAAATTAGTTTGGGTTTGGGTTTAGGCTCCCATAATGGATCAAGTTTATGATCCAACACCCTCTTAAACTTGATCTTGTGACCCCTAGTAAGTTCCTTAATCTTATGAAGTCTTCGCTTGTCAGTGGCTTGGTAAAAATATCGACAATTTTAGCAATGAAGTTATTCTTATCATCTTTTATAGAAAGATTATAATTTTTCATATGAATATCATAACCTTTCTCTACCAGTTGCCCTAAACTTAAGATGTTACTTTTCATATTGGGCACATAGTAGACATTTGAAATAAATTGACGTCTCTAATCTTTCAAACGGATAAGGATATTACCTCTCTCTTTCATTGATATTGTGGAATCATCTCCAAATGAAACATTTTCGCTTTCTGACTCGTCTAGCTCCATGAACATGTCTTTCCTTCCACACATGTGATTGCTTGTACCACTGTCAAGATACCAGGAATTTGCTTGGCCACCCTCAGTTTCCTTTCGTGCTAGAAGAAAAGTTTCTTTGCCATCTATCTTTTCCTCCACATAGTTGACATTCTCCTCAATTTTGTTGTTGGGAGCTCTACATTCTGAAGCATAATGCCCAAACTTCTGACAATTATAACATCGAACTTGAGATTTGTCATACTTTGAGTTCGAATTGATTCTTACATGACCTTGTATTGAGTTTTCTCCTTTCTCATAGTTGTTGTTGGAATTGTTATTGTTCTAATTCCAGCCTCGTCCACGACCACGACTTCCACCTCGTCCATGGCCTCTACCTCTGCCTAGGCCACGTTGGTTTCTATCATTGCGTTGGCTTTCATGCATATCCTTGAGTTGTAGCTTGAGGAGTTGCTCAGTAAACACATGCTTCTTCTTATGCTTCTCTTCGTATGCTTGCAATGATCCTTGGAGTTGCTCGATTGTCATTTCTTCCAAGTCTTTAGTTTCTTCAATCGTCATGTCGATGTGCTCAAATTTGGGATCCAACTAATGTAGTGTCTTCTCTATTATCCTCACATCTTCTAACTTTTCATCATTTCTTTTTAATTGATTAGAAACAACTACTACTTTTGAGAAATAATCTAAAATAGACTCATATGCTTTCATGTGTAAAGATTCGAATTCACCTCTTAATGTTTGGAGACGAACCTTCTTAATTTGCTCGGATCCTTTGTAAGAGGTTTACAGCTTCTCCCACGCTTCCTTGCTAGAGCTTGCACTTGAAATCTTTTCAAAACAATCATCATCTAATGCTTGATAGATGAGGTAGAGAGTCTTTTTGTCTCTCTTTCTTGAATCCTTCAAAGTTGTCTTTTAATATGGTGTAAAAGTAGCAAAAGCAACATCATCCGCAGGCTCGTTATAGCATTTCTCTATGATATCCCACACATTTTTTTATCAAGAAGTGTCTTCATTTTGATACTCCAGTTGTCGTAGTTGTTATTGTTGAGTGTCGGAACTTGGAATGGTGCCATACCATTTTCCATATCTCTCAATATAATGAGAATTTGCAAAATCCGATTGCACGGATGAATCCGGAACGCCAAAAAACCTTGAGAGGGACTTGGACAACTCGGTCAAAGGGCTCCAACTCGACTGACTCGGCTCAACTCGGTGAGTCAACTCGATTTTCTGGTAAAAGTCTTTCGGCGGTGCGTGGCTGCGTGTCAGAACTCAGATTGGGAAAATTCTGGCGGCGACGGATTCCTCTCGTCGACACCTTCGATCTTTCCAACTCACTCTGATGCCACTTTGTTGGAAATGAAACACTCACACAAACAGCTTTTATTGAAACTCAAACACATATTACAAGAACTAAACTAAACTAAAATGGGGAAGGGTATTTATACTACTTAAGAACAATCCCACACCACACAAATAAACTAATTTAAACCATTAAAAATGAGACATATACCTAACTCTCACCTAACTAATTTAATGTAAGCAATGGTATATTCACCTAACAAATTTATGCAAGCAATGACATCAAATTAGTTTGGGTTTGAGTTTAGGCTCCCATAATGGATCAAGTTTATGATCCATCATTAACGTAATCAACAACTTTTGCCAGTGGATCCTGAATTTGAGCTCCAGGAATAAAATCAACAAGAGATGACGTACATGGGATCCAACTATCAGACCAAAAGTTTGTTACACGACCATTACTCACTGACCAACACAAGTTACCCTGAATAAGATGTCAAATACGAACAAGGGAACGTCAAACGTATGACCCGGTTCGAGTTTGCAGGTGCTCAGGAACCAATTCCTTAACTTTATATTTGGAGCGTAGAAGCTTAACCCACAGGGCGTCTTGCTTCATTAGAAACTTATACCACAACTTGACCATGAATGCCTCGTTCTGCGCCTGAAGGGGTCGAATGCCCAGACCACCGTTTATATGAGGTTGGAAAATAGTTTTCCAGCTAATAAAAACCATTTAGGCGAGTCCATAGATCCTCCCCAAATGAATTTGCGAGCAATTTGTTCAATCTGAGCACAAGCACCTTTTGGGACTGAGACGGTCTGTATAAAATAGCTTGGAATAGCCAGTAACGTTGCTTTGACAAGTGTTACCTGGCCTGCAAGAAATAGCTTGGAAGCCACCTATCTACTAAGTTTAGCTCGAACCTTATCCATTAGAAATCCGAAGGTGCTTTTTGTAACTCTTTTGTGAAAAAGCGACATACCCAAGTATTTCTCTAAATCAGTAGATTGTTGAAAGCTCAGTTGTGAACAAATAGAATTTGCTAATCCCTCATCAATATTCTTAGAAAAAAAGACTTTCGTTTTGTTGGAGCTAACTTTATGTTCCGAGAAACGATTGAATTGGTCCAAAATAGCTTCTGTGAGGTTGGCTTGCGAGGAAGTGGCTTTAGAGAACAGGACCAAGTCATCGGCAAAAAATTAGTGGGATAAGGGGTTCTCCATGCGAGAGCACCATTGGTTCCCACACCCCATTCTCATCGCATAGTCAATGCTATACCTCAAGCATTCTATCCAGATAATGAAAAGTTAAGGTGATAGAGGGCACCTTTGATGAATACCCCTAGTTGGTTTGAAAACATCTGAGGGTGATCCATTTCAAAGCACCTGAAAGGAAGAGGATAAAACAAGGTCCATGATAATCTGGTGCAGCCGTGTAGCACACCTCATATCGATAAGTGAATCAGATAAGAAGTCCCAACAGACCCGGTTGTAGGCTTTTTAGAGGTCAACTTTAATCGCCATCCATTTAGTCTTCCCCTTCTTAGTTCTCATAGAATGACTGGCCTTTTGCGCTAAAATTATGTTATTCATGATGTTGTGGCCAGCGATGAAGCTCATTTGATTTCGGCCAATTAATTTTGGGAAGATAGGTCGAAATCTGTTTGCAAAAACCTTTAGTACAAACTTGTAGAAGACCGTGCACAAACTAATCGGACGGAATTCGAAAAAGGATTTCGGGTTGTCCACTTTAGGAATAAGGACAAGAAAAGTTTGATTGAGCTCCGTCTCAATAGAATTACCACAAAAAATGCCTCTAACACAAGCACAAATTGAGTTTCCAATCGTACCCCGCTGGTTCTGGAAAAATAAAGTATAGAGACCGTCTACACCTGGTGACTTTAGTGGGCTCATATCAAATGAGGCACGCTTGATCTCCTCATTCCTGACTTCAGCCTCTAGAGAGTAGATATCGGCTGCAGAGAGGCGAGAGAAAGCTCCATTGAAGAGGAAAGCGATCACGATTATTGCTATCATCACAGTATAACTTCTTGAAAAAAGTAGTAGCTTCCCCCCAAAGAGTATCCTCATCAAACACCATTCACCATTACTAATTTTCAAGGCTTGAATACGGTTAACTTTCTGCCGATAAATCGCCTGGCTATGAAAGTATTTGGTGTTACGGCCACCTTCCGACATCTAGTTAGCTCAAGCCTTCTGCTTCTGTAAAAGCTCTTCATGGTCTAAGATCTCTTCCAACTTGATGCGAGCACTCAACTCCTCATCGAGAAGGCTATCATCGTGCCTCCTCTCAAGCTTGGCTTGGATAGAGGCAAGTTGTTGCTTAAGAGCTCGTTTGTCTTGAATAATATGCCCATACACATTCTTGTTCCAATCCTTTATAGCAGCAATAAAGCCATTTATGGTATTGTTGATGCTACTAGTAAAGGACCAATTCTGGCTGACAAATGAGGAAAATTGAGGGTGAAAAGTCCAGCTAGCCAAGAAGTGAAAGGGGCGCGGTAACGAGGACTTGGGCAATCGATTAGAGCGGAGAAGAATCGGTCTGTGGTCGGATTTCAGCCTTGGGCGATGGAATACATTCGATTGAGGAGCCCTAGCAAGCCATGCCTCGTTAACCACCATGCGATCAGTCCTTTCAAAACTTCTCCCCTACTCCAAGTAAACCGAGGCCCTCAAAGCCAAGATCAGTGAGTTGAAGTAGGTCCAGAAAGAGACGAAAAAAATTACAGCCTATACCCATTCTGCTCCCACCCGCTTTCTCAAAAACTGGAGATATAAGCATTGAAGTCACCTGCTACTATCCAAGGAACATTTCTGGGCGGAGAGAAGTAAGAAAGGTCCTGCCACAGGGCCTTACGCTTCACCTTATCGGGGCAACCGTACACAACAGTAACAATGATGTGCTCCTCAATATTCGTGCTCAAAAACTTGGAGATGATGAATTGAGGATGCACAACAATAATCTCGACCACTAGGGGAAGTTCCAAAGAACCCAAATACCCGCAAAAAAGCCAACAGCTTCCACTCGAAAGGATTTATCAAAGCCAAACTTGGCGATGACATGATCAGCACGATGCTCGTTAATACGAGGCTCAAAAATCGCAAACATAACCGGCTTGTAATCCATTCTATATTCCTTGAACACTCTTGGAAATTTACACCTCCCACACCCTTGGCAATTCCAGGTTATTAAAGAAAAATCCATGGAAAGAGAATAGAGAAGGGTACCTCTACTGGTTCACGCCAGTAACGTCGCTCAACGAGTCATGGGCACTAGAAGGGGTTTGGCCTTGTGTCTGAATGTTCTTTATAACATCATTGACAGCATCTTGAAGGGTAATCCTTGAGCTATTGCTCTGTTTGAACTTAGGCCCCTTATTGCGGAGGATATACAGAGTGGCTTTGCCTTTGGAAGAAGGGCTTCGCCGACTGCTCAGTCTTGGATTTCTGTTAAAGGAGATTGCTTGGTGAGAGTTTGGATCCAACCGGTTAACACCCGTTGAGGCTCAACTCCTAAAGAGTTCTCAAACATGGGGTTTGTGCTGGACAGAAAGTTAGCTCCATTTAGATTGACCAGTTGCACATTTGTTTGTTTAGATAACTGAACGGTGTTCTCATTCCTCAATTGTATGGCTTTCCATTTCCAACGTGAATGGGATTCACGTTCTCTTTTTGCATGA